CCATTGCATGAGGGAAAAGCAGCCTTTTCCAAAGTTTGGCATCTTCGATTTTTCACAATGAATAGCATAAAGTCGTCTAATTATATAAGTAGCTTCCAGCAATGCTTTGACCCAGTCTTTGAGCATGAACCCAGATCTGCTTAGAATATTGTTCACCTCAGGTCTTCAATCATAGCCCCCTTCATAGTAATGACACATTGATCGCTGTCATGGATTTAATAGTACAGTATAACATATATTGGTGAGAAGAATCATCAAGTTTCTGAAATTGAGTCAGTGTTTCAAATCGCATATTCTAAAGTCGTATGACTTACAGAGCTTAACATTTGTTAAGTGTGGGAGTATGTATAAAAATCTGTGAAATTATCGCAAAATCAATCAGTTTGTCTTTTGATTTTTTGTGAAGTATTTCATAGTGATACCTGCTTTTTTTTTTCAATTGTTAATGGTGTTTGGACATTACAATATGAATTTGTTTTGAATGTGAAAGTTTATTTAGTGTTAAGTCATTAGCTATATTATTTTGCTCTGCATTATTTGTAATTAATTTTATTTTTGTTTTCCTATGTGTTGTTCCAGTCATTTATAGGTATTACATTACACTTTAAGATGTCTGCACAATAATTTTTCATGAGGAAACTTCACCATTTACCAAATTTTACATTTTTGAACCAGGTTTTGCCGATCTCTATTCTATTAATTACTGCTTCAGGGAATTTTGTAACAAGATTAACAGTGAGGCTCATTAGTTATGAATAGTTCATAAGAAGACTAGCACAATTAAATCAAAAACCATGTTGTAACTTCTAACATAAGCCATTGATTTTTAAAATATAAAAGCATATCTATTATGATTTTTATCTGAAATTATAGCAAAGGTAATAAAAATGCCAAATTATTTTGAACAACAGGTTTTTTAAATTTTCCAGCCTGGTTTTTAAATACCATACTGGTAATTTATTGAAAAACAGCAATGCCTGCTGTGATAATGACTCTTAAGTAGAGGTATTCTTCTTTGATGTTTAATTGGACTATTGAGATAATATTCTGGCAAAACCTGGTTCACCAACCCACCTGAATGCCCTTTTAAAGGGTTTGCTGGTAAATGAGATAGTAACAGCATGGAACTCCCATAGGCTGCATTCTTATCTACTGTATGTTATATTATTTCTGTAGGAGTTAAACTCACGTTTACTGTGGTCATCAGTGGTATTATATTTTAATGCTATTTGATTCATTCTTTTATAGACACGTTTTTTTAAAAAGTTAACCTTTTGAGCATTCTTTTGCGCTTCTCGGGTATGCAGATTCTCTTTCTTCTCCATCCTGTTTTCCTAAAATCCAAAATGATTTTAGTATTCATTATTTTCTAATTATCCTTCTTTTCCTTTCTCATTTCCACTTTCATTTTTTCTTTGTCTATTTATTAAATTTCAATCCATAGTCTTGTTTTTTTTTTCTCTTTTGTTATATTCACTATTCAGCAAGTATGATACTTTACATATAGTAGTAATCTGCGTCATTCTTCATATTTTTTCTTTGCCATCAAAGTCTGCAATGCTCTTCCTTCCAACCAATTTAAAATCAATCACTACAATCAAGTCATTCATTTAAAAAAAAAACTCTGAACACTATGGTTAAATTGCAATATTTCTACAAAAAAATAATGGAATATAATGAAACTGAATAGTATCCATCGTTATTGTTGAAAAAAACGTGTGGAGTTCTTTGGTCACGTTTGTAATAATCAGACAGCTACATTCTCTTTTTTTCCTTCAAGAACTTATATCATGCAGTAACTACCCAGTGATTCCCCAGTGATATGTATAAAATCAGTGTTTCTCATAGAGATATAATGAGAATACTAGAGCGCTAACTGCAATGTATTCGATGTTCGAAATACGCAGAGCTGTATGTGTGTACCATCCAGGATGGCTGCCATAGATTCAGCCAATCAAATTTCGCCTAAGCACTATCATTTTCATTGGCGCCCTCAATTTACACAGAAAGTTCAGTACAGGTAGTTACCCGTATGTTTGAAACTCGAGCGTTGCGGTATGGGTATAATATACCCGATTTTAATTTTTGAAAAAGATGCTCTACTTAGCCTCTTTTTGGCTACGATAGTTTAATAATTTGTTATTATCAATACTAACTATCATTAATGAAATAATAGTCAGTCAGAGGGTATGGTAATAATATGTGGCAAAGACAAGCCAAACCAGTCACTCGTCGCCAAGTCGTGTTACAGAGAAAATAGCCAAAACATGCTGGAATGTCGAATTTTTAAAAATCTATTTTATTGCGCTAAACTAACCTTTATATATCTATACTCATTCTATGCTGTTATTTTCCCCATTTTCAATGTTAAAACAACAATTTTTAAAGATTTAAAGATAGTTTCTGCATGAGAAATGCCTGAAATCATAAACTTTGAAGGCTGATTTCTCATACATTGTTCTTTAAACAGCCGTGTGATATTGTTTTGAAGAGCATTTGAATGTGTAAAAAATCTTCAGATAAAATGGTCATTGAAACGTTTTGGAAGTTCTTGGATCATGTCACAGTTGCCTAATTTACCGTATTTTTTTCCTAAATTTCAGGATTTAATTTTGGATTTGAAAATATAAATTACATAATTGTAAAGTATTCATTTATTTTATGTACTACAAATTCAATATTATACAAATGTCCCAGAGGAAACCATGGGCCGAGAGCCCCCAAAAAAATTGGGTACCTCTTAGCATAAAATAAAATTTTATAGAAAATGTAAAATGTGTACGCCATAGTAAAAATTTAAAACCATTAAAAATCTGTGTAAAAAGAAAAAAGATATCGTGTAATTCGTTAAAATGTGCTGTTAGTTTTTTGAACATTTTTTTAATCATCATATAAACTCCTCAGTCTGTCAGGAAAAGAGTTCCAGAGCCTCACTGCTTCAACATAAACAGAATTTTGAGAAAGATTTGTTCGAATGGGCACTCTATACAATTTAGTATTATCCCTGGCGGTAAAAGGAATCATCATGCTAACAAGAAATTCCCCGCCCTCCAGGAGAAAATGTGAAGCAAACAAGGCTTTGGAAACTTTTCTTATAACAGCCAGAGGATAAAGATGGTACATTCCGTATTTATCCGATAGATGTTGTTTGGTCTATCTTCATACCTCCCCAGCACCCTTCCGCCACCCCAAACAATGGCAATTCTAGTTGCAGCTTTTTTAATATGTTCCAGTTTATGGGTATACTAATCTCATATGGGTCCCATACAGAACAACAATATTCATGTTTGGCCAAAACCAAGACACTATATAAGAAAATAAAATAGTTGGCTCCCACGCCGAACAAAAACTCTTGAAACAAAACCAAGGCAGTAGATTAAATGCTGTGATTTAAAGCACATCAACTTTGAATTAAAATTAGAAAATATATTTGTTGGCAATTAAGCCAAATTAAGGTACATCACATTCCTGTGTTTTTTACATAGACCATTAATTGGCTTGTAGTCAATGATTTATAGAAATATGTCTGTGAATTGGAAATAATTGTTTTCAATTTGTGTTACATTTCACCTTATTAGCTTTGATGCTTTTAAATTACCTAGTCAGTGTTGCAATTAATCTTTGAAGTTTTTTTTTTTTCCAGAGAAAGTATGATATTGAAAATTAATTTATTCAGCATGACAGAGATAACAAAATTACACGCATAACTATAATTCATTGATATATAGGGAAGATTGGTAAGCCAGCGTAGGCACAGAGTGTATAAAATTGCTGATAGAAATTATTTAGAATTCCAAGCACACAACAAATTTCTCACCTAAGTTGTGTTTATTACAATGTAATTTTTTTTTTCTCAACAGTTTTGGTAATCCATTCCATGATGAAGCAAGTATATTGGCTCCCTTGGAGCAATGCTGTAGGTAAGTTATCAGACATTATCCATAATCGTTGCCGGTACAATACATCTACATCGTAAATGTCTTATGTATGCATTTGTACAATATTGAAATTGCCTGCGGGGCTTCAAAACTGTATTAACCAGTCGATACCATCAGTGTGTTTCTCTAAAGGTCTGTAGAGATTAATGACTAGATATCAGCGTATCATTACAATAGACTCAATAACAGTAAAACTTGTGGTTTTGTTCTGGATACCATCTCATGGTAAAAGTTAACGCGGACAAGCTATCAAAAATCTTCAGAAAAGATAAAAAATGTATTGATCCCATAAGAAATTTGTTGCTTTACATAAACATACACAATACGACAATAAAGGTATGAACGCATTCTAATATCTATAATTTTATGTACATCGTAAAAGTTCAACAATAGTTTAATTAATCCAGCATAAGGTTAAGATACAGTAGCTTATATTGACATCCTTGAGGAGTGATACATACAACCAAACTGATAATGATAAAGATGATGATGATAATGATAATGATGATAACAGGGATATTGATACAAGGTCATAGTGATTGTGACAATGAAACAACCTACCATAATTATAAGACTTTAATATTAGAGTGTATCATATTATTCAGTGAACAGAGAGAATATTTAATATTATTGTGGGAATAGATGCAGTGAATTTAAAGCACCATTGTGACACCGCTCAGGGATTCCAGTTGATGGAAATTGTGTTCACTGCAAATTACTGTTTGCTCAAGGGGCTCAAAACTCAACTTGTGAACACAAATAGAAGTATCAAATGCTTCACTTTTTTTATATTTTATTTCAGGCCGACAATACATTATACTGTCATTATCTGTTTAGGAGAGTACTCATTCGTTACACAACTTATTTCATGAAATAAGGTATAAGAATCAAATGTAAATTGCACAAATGGACTGTTCCAGAATGTCAATCAAACTTAGCTGACCAATCAGAACAGAGCCAGTAAAATGTCTCTAACACATACATACACACACACACATGTGCACAGCCACACACACACGTATTGTCCTGTCGTTTTGTTGGGACAATACCAATAACAATATCTAATCGGCAGGGGTTTGAGGATAAGTTCAATGCAGTCTGTTCCAAAATTTGAAGACAGACAGGCAATAAAATATTAGAGGGCAGCAGACATGTTTTATTAGATTAAATCTTTGATATGGTCATAAAAAAATACATATCAAACAATGGTAAACACAAAAATATGACGTGTAATCATCGTTAATTAATAAAATTTCCTGATGCCAGAAAAAGAAAAATATAAATTTTTTTTTATCATCAACAGCCTCTTGTTCATATTTTCTATGCTGTGTTTCCAATATGTTACTCCTAAAGGTTAACAATAGAAGAGGTACTACAGGAAGTATGATACTTGTGTACCTACCTTCAAATATGTGGATTTCCCGATTCATTGTGTCTTGTCTGGAAATATAGAAACATGCCTTGGAGGATTTACATTTTCTATTCCTTTCCAAATAAAAAGGTATTACAAATGAAATGAAAACAAAATATTGTAGGGTCTGGGAGACTGTTGTTAAAAGTCAACAAGCCATGGGCACCGACCTGCCAAGGTTATGGAAAAAAAATGTGTGACACTTACATGGGAAGTCTACAGTACCTCAGCCCCACCATAGTTGTGGCTGAGGTGAGAAAATTTTAAGAATATAGCACCTCTAGAATCCTAGATGGCCGAAAGTGTATGTTTAAATACTGTACTGTGGGTTACATGAACACAATCTAATTTATATTTGGCCTTTTATTATTTATATTATTCTGTATCTATCAATTGAGAAAAAAAAAAAGTAAAGAATAAAAGTAGTCAAAACCACACAGTACCCCCACACTCCCAGATCTTTACTTTCGCAGTTTGTGGAGCAGGAAAGGGCTTTCTCACTGTCCATATGTTGACAAACAGGATTGACCCTTGGTGACCTTATGAAAGTGTTATCACATCGGAGACATTGTATGTAACAATATGCTTTTTTAATGCCTTTTGTGAAAAACATGAGATCAAAAATATAACATGGATTAATCAGCATCCGTTGAAGCTGTCAGTGAGTGGGAGTGATATGTTTGAAGCGTGGAAGATTCTGGTACCAAGCGTGCACTATTCATCAAGAGTATCTCAGCTGATTATGCGGTGACTATAAAGAATGCCATTACTATAATCAAGTCATGAGGTAATGAGATGTACAATCTTCTGCATTTTATCTTTATTAGGCTAAAAATAAATTTAGTTGCCAAAGCATAGTGATATTAGGAAATGAGTGTCTGTCTTTTTTTCTTTTTTTTTAACTGTAAGCGTATAATCCATGGTAGGGTATCCAAAATTAAAACTAGAAGGAAAGTGTATCTGAAATATTTTGCTCTGTGGTCTTTATAGGGTAGGAGTGGTTTGACACAATGGTTGCGGTACTGTTTCTCAACCTTGAGGTTGGAGGTTCTTTCCCTCGCTGTACATTTCGCTTGTGTCCTTTAGGCAAGGCACTGTGTCTACGGTTGTCACCCAGGAGTACAAGTGGGTACCTGGTAGTTTCAAACACAAAATGCACTGATTACAACTGCGACATTATAGAATTCTTCCCAGGGAGCTAAATATGTGTTCTATATATGTTTGATCCAATGACCGGGGGTAATAATGTGAAGAATGTGAAGCACTTAGAGGCCTTGTTGGCATTATATGATAATTAAATGTTACTATTAAAAGTGTTATGATTTGATTATCATTTAATAAATATTGTAAAGTAGGTCTTAAAAATACCTTACATTTTTATTAATAGCAATAAGATTTGATTATTTTCCTATAAATTGTAAAGTAGATGAAAGCATTTTGATTACTCCAGAGTAATGAAAACATATGAGCATATTGTCTAAAAATAATGCATGTTACTTGAGCTGACTTTTAATCTACCTGTAATAAATTTTCCTAACCTTACCCTATGCCAGTTCCCAGTCTTTTAACACTTCCATAATAGGCAGAGATTTATATCATTTTCCGGGTTCAATGTGTTGAACAACATGAAACTCAATCTCAGCTTATTTTACAGCTGATAATACTTCTCCTACTCTTTTATAAGTTTATATTGACGGTTAAACTATAAATCACTTTTTAATTTCAAGCATTATTAAGGTGTGTAACGGATGTAATAGATAATTAGCATGCCAAAGAAATGGGCAGTTATTGTTTTTGGGTGTGTTTTTCATGTCAATGTAGGTGGTGGTGGTGGTAGTGGTTTCAATTGTTGGATGTTTCCATGGGGAATTTCAGATTGTTCCTGCCATCGGAGCACGAGGCAATAATTAAAGACCTACGAGGCATGGTTTGCGAAGGGATGTCCTACATCTCTTATCTTCCTGCGCTCCATCCCCTCATACTTTTCTTTATACAAATACCAAATCCTTTTAATACACAAGAAGTAGGCTAATCCAATAAAATGAACAAATCCATATTTTGCTAAATGAAAAAAATGGAACTATTGTATTTTTTACTTGGGTTATTTGCACATATGGTAATGATAATGTCCTGTTAGACATGTAATATCTGGGCATTATGACCATATTAGGCATGATGATGTTTATCCCATATATAGGCATGATGTTATCACATCCATATATTAATAATAATATTAGTAACATCTTAAAAGGCACTCGTATCCATCTGAGAGAGCTGCTCACAGCACCATTGCACCTGCAAAAAGCAGCGGCCTTTTCTGCATTTCTTTTATTATATTTTTTAAATGAACATGATGATTGTTTACTTCCAAATATTGGAAAATCTCATGCATTTGATTTGATAGAGCTACTAATGTAAAACTCAGTCCTCATTAAATGTGGTGGCCATGCATGAGCGATGAAACAACTCGTTAATCACATGACCTTTATAAACCCTTTAGTTATTATTTTTAAATTCTAACTTCGTATGTCATTGATAAATATCATAAAATGTAACTTAAATGTAGAAAAACATGATAAATCACACATCATTTTTGGCAAATGCATCTGTTTAGACTACAGTAGTATTGTACATTAGATACTGTCAATATTTTCTTATAGACGTGTGTAATGTCTTTTATTTATAGAGTTCGATAAGAAAACAATTTTCCATGTAGAAAGTTGACCAGAATTTGAAGAATTTTAATCTAAAAATTAGTAGACTCTTTCAGAGGTATTGATAGAAATTGATATTACTGCAAAGTATTGTAGAATATTGGGACTCTGCAATTAAGAATCGTTCACCTTTTTGTCTGATGACAGGAAGTCGTAATCTAATAATATTTGTAATATGCTTCAATGGAGGCCTAATATGTCTGGAAGAAAGGAGTGACATTGAGTGAGTCTTCTTCATGCTCGGAAGCATGTAAACCTTTAAGAAGGTAATTCTCCCGTTGGCTTAACGGATGATTAGATCTTCATGTTTTTCAGCTACGTTGCAGTCTCAAACGTGTTTATTACAAAATGGGGCACTTTCATTCAAGACATTTAAGCTTTGATGTCTCATGCGTATTATTGCTTTTGTGTGCTGTATAAAAATATGCACTTATCGCAAGGCAAATTTTAGTAGATTTTCTTCAGGTTCTACAGTTCAACCGTAAACTTAATCAACTTTATCATTCTGTCTTCTATATGACTTTAAAGCTTTTTCCTGTACAGTATACCGCTTCAACAGTTTATTTTAACTGGATAGCTAGAATCAAGTCTAAAATAGGAATGGAATTGATATATGCAGTAAAAAAAAAGGATAGTTAGTGTGAAACACCAGAAAAGAAAAGCCAAAGCATGTGTCTATCTCAACAGAATAAAGATTCAAGAAACATCTGTTAGCCAGAAGCCTGCCTCAGACATAAATAAATGGCTCAATATTGTGAGATATTCAACAATAGAGAACGTAATTGATCTTAGTATAATAGATGGCAATTCACATCTAACTGCCATATAATTTCAACAATGTGCCAAGTTAAAGTGAA